GTTATTAGGCCAGTTGCGGGTTTTGGCTTGGGTTGTTTCAGTTGATGTCATAGTACAACTCTTCATTTCAAATTAAGTTTAATTGAAATAATTCTAACACAGTCACTTAACTTATTTTTAGGTAAGTTCTACTCATCCTTACACTTTTAAAACATGTTGCATGCTCGTGAACACACATGTAGCACATATTCATACTGAAACCAGGTAACGCCTGGCTGTTGTGCAGTTTTTTAGTCTCATTAAATCTATTATCTTTCCTTTAGTCACAGATTCAGCAAGTAACAACCACTTACCTTTACACAAAACCTAATCTGGAAGAACTCTTATAGCTTCTTCAATCTCCTGAGTTCTGTTGCCCGGTAGAACTTCCCAACTTCTCCTTTTCTCTCTCGGCTGAAGAACACACGCAAAATGATAAGTTTGAGCCTGTTTTCAAACTTTAACATTTCAGACAAAGAGACAACTTTAGTGGAAATTCAATGAAATCCACTAAAGCTTCCAAAGGGTAAACATGCAGACTTTTTACTATTTCTTGCAACGAGCATCCTACATTCACTGTTACATGCAGCAAATAGGATAAACATGCATATCTAATCCCAACCTGTAAATCAATTATTTCACACAAATTACATTCGCTTCTAATATTAAGTTGGAGAATGAATGTACACCTTTTTATTCAGTATACGTCACTACACTTATTGATTTAGTTGTTAAATTTTACTACTTTGAATTTTTTTATCTTTAATTTAAATTTAAAAATAATAATTTTTTAATGAGTATATTGTAAGGTATGTTGAATTAAAAAATATACTAATCATTGTCCAAATCCATTAAGTTTTATAAATTCTATTAACTTAACAAATAAAGAAAAAGCATCCTAATTTATGACAAATAAAGATAATAATTTATCCTACTATGCAATTAAGAACTGGATTATGACACTATAGATGATCAACAAATTCAATGCTAGAGTCACACAGTCCACACACATCATTCTCATCATGCATGGATAATGCCTCTCTTCATCAAATTATCTTTTGTAGGAATTTTATCTAAACTTGCAACATAAAAGCACAAACCTTTCGACGTACTTAAGGATTCCAACATTTACGAAATTTTTTTTTGCCACCTCTTTCTGTAGATTGAGACAACCATTTATACTCAAATTTAAGGGAGTAAACTCCATTACTTTCAGGTTGCCACTTCCACACATCTTCATTGTCTAGCCTTGGAAGATGACTTAGCAGCAACTCCAACATTTGAACAATGAAATCTTCCTCCCACAGGAATGGTTGCTTTGGTCAATTCCAGGTCCATTGCCACGAGCCATAAATTCAGCATCCCATTTCAGCAGCTAATTTGCTCTTATCTGCAGGAAGTGAAAACAATACACTAGATGTATTTAGTTTGATTGGTTTTATTAGTTTATAAATTTTATAATAAAAAAAGCTAGTTATGGTGTTTAGACTTTAGAAACATTAACACTTGTAGGCTAATCTCATTATGTTAAATAATAAATATAAAATATTTTATCAACTAATTAATGACTACAGCTATTAACTGCGCTTATTAGTCATATAAATATTTTGCGTGATGTTAAAAAGGGATTGTGTAGCAATAACCATGGCCATATATTAGACGTTGCCGCCCTCCTCACTACACCTAAGCATTGCATGCATTTGCATCTTGTATATCATGGATTGTCCCCAAATAGGAAAACCCGGTGGGAAGTATTGGTTGGTACAATCCAGGGGACCAAGTCATACCATTCCCAAAAACCCACCACCTGTTATCAAGTACTCCTCTTAGGAGGGTATACCAAAGTGGGGGTGCATAATAACGCTTGACCATAGTAATTTTTAATTTAATTTTTGTGCTTTACTGCTTTGTGCTTTAGTATTTTTAACTATTAATTTTTAATTTAATTCATTCTTAGGTATCAATTAGCCAATGTCTTCACAAGAGCCTAACTCCCCATTGATTCAAATTCCAAATGAATCAAGTGCAAGTATTATACCGAGTGCTGCTGCTACACCAACTTCATCCTCAGCTATGGTTCCTCTTCCTCTTGCATTAGAAAGTGGTACTGGTGAAGATAAAAAAGATGATCAAGGACATAAGCGGCCACTTACTTCTAAAGCATGGAACCATTATCGGAGGCAAAAAATTAATGGTCATTGGAAAGCTATTTGTGTCTATTGCAATAAACATCTTGGAGGTGAGACCAAGAATGGGACAAGTCATTTGCGTGATCGCACTCGGGTCTATCCATTGAAATTTGTTTCTGACATAAGGCAAACATTTTTGAGAGCTTCAAAGAATCAAGAAGGAAAAACAGAACTTGGGCATGGACTTTTCAATCAAGAGATGGATAGAAGGGAACTTGCATATATGATTACTACGCATGAGTTACCTCTATCAATTGTTGATCATATTTTCTTTAGAAGGTTTGTTGCTGCTCTCCAACCAAGGTTCAAGTATGTTTCAAGAAACACAATCAAGAAAGATATCATGGGCATCTATCGTAATGAAAAGTCTAAAACAATGAAGTTGTTGGAGGTCAATCAAAGTAGAATTGCCATCACAACTGACATGTGGACTTCAAATAATCAAAAGAGAGGTTTTACGGTCATCATAGCACATTATATTGACAATTCATGGATGTTGCAAAATTGAATTACCATGTGACATTTTGTTATTTTTGTCCTGATTTTTTTAAATATATATTTATGTTTATGAGTTTAGAATATTTAGTGTAATTCTTTCTATTGTTTTTTACAGTTTTCAATATGTACCTTGTCCACATACTTCTGAGGTACTTGCAAAAACTTTGTTAGATTGTTTGATGGATTGGAATATTGATAGGAAATTGTCTACAATCACAATAGATAATTGTTCTACTAATGATGCCATGGTAAATGTGTTGTTAGGAAAAGTTTTTGATGATTCATTATGGGTAGAAGGAACCTTGATACATATGCGTTGTTCTGCACATATCTTAAACTTAATTATCAAAGATGGGTTGGAGGTAATTGTTGATGGAATTGAGAGGGTTAGAGATAGTGTTGCTTTTTGGACAGCAACACCAACAAGAGAGGAGAAATTTGAAGAGACGGCTAAACAATTGAAAATTATTTTTTCAAAGAAATTAAATCTTGATTGTAAGACTAGATGGAATTCAACCTATTTAATGCTTCATGTGGCTTTATATTATAAAGATGTTTTCTCTCATTTGAAGCAAAGGGACTCACAATATAAATGTTCACCATTAGAGGAGGATTGAGAAATGGCTGAGGAGATTTCTAGTAGGTTGATGTTGTTTTATGAAATCATTGAATTGTTTTTAGGGAATAAATATCCTACTGTTAATATTTTATTCCCAAAGATCTGTGAAATTAAAATTGCATTGATGGCATGGTTGACTTGCGGAAATGTTGTTATAGAAACAATGGTAGAAAAAATGCTTGATAAATTTGACAAGTATTGGAGTGAGGTTCATGGGATTATGGCTCTAGCAACTGTTTTAGATCCTAGATACAAAATGGAGTTGGTAGAGTTTTATTTTATTGAAATTTATGGAGATAGAACTAGAGGGGAAATGCAAAGAGGTTTTAGGCTTTGTTATGATTTGATTGATAGATATCAATCTAAAACTTCCTAAAATGAGTGGTGTGTGCAAGTGTCTAGCTCTAGCCATGCTCCACTAATGGCTGCCTCATCTTCCTCTATGATTGGTAATAAAAATTTTGTTGAAAAATTCAAGACATTCCTTAGTTCAAAAGGTAGTGCACCACCTATGAAATCAAAGTTAGATGCTTATTTAAAGGAAATGGTGGTTCCATTTGAGGTAGAAGAAACTTTTGATATTCTGAATTGGTGGAAAGTTCATGGGGCTAGGTTTCCTATATTGCAAATGCTTGCTAAAGATGTGTTTGCCATTCC